GGGGGGGGGGGGGGCGGCGGGATCGATGGCAGGAAACGGGAGGCGGGGGCTGAACGTGGAGCTGGGCTCAAGCCTGACACTATTGATTTTACCTAGTTCAGCTGGCCTTGTAATTAAAATGTAAATTTGAGAAAGAGATTACGTCCTGACAGAAATGGTAGGATTAAGGAGAAGATAAAAGCCCCTCAATGAAAATTCAGAGAAAGAAATGAGAAAGAAACGGGTGCCGTCTCCCTAGCTGCGGGTTTAGACGAATCTACTGCAGAGTCATCGCCTTTAATTGAAAACCAGTGACGAAGATCAACTGGCATTATGAACTGGCGCCCAGCACTTCCTGCGCTGTCCCGCAGCGCTGGGGTCCATGGTGCAGACCTGGCCCCGGACCCCTTGAGGAGCAAGGGGTCTCCCACCGCCCGCTATCAGAGGCCTGTCCTGGGGCACAGCAGCCCCTCCTGCAGGGGGGCCCGGCCCACAAACACCCAGGGAGCAGCTCGGCTCCACTCTGTGCGCCCGGCCACCACGAGGACAAGCGGTGGGCTGGCAGCACCCAGGGGTGGTCACCTACGCTGGTGCCTGGAGACCGAGCGCCCCCTCGAGGGGGGCAGCCAGGGCAGACCAAGGAGATGGGCCGGGCCCCTCAGGGCTCCAGCACCCATCCATACTGCCTCGAGGGCATGGGACGAGGCCTGGGGGAGGCGGGCCCAAAGCAGGCACCTGGAGGAGCGTGGCAGAAGGCCTGGCCCCAGGAGCGGCCCAGGGTTCAGAGGAGACCCGCACTGGGACGGCGTGGCCAGCGAGGTCAGCGTGAGGGTGAGGTGGGGGCTAGAGGGCTGTGGTGGGCAGTGGCTGCACCCTCGGGCGCCCAGAGAGGGCCTCGAACACCAGGGTGGCGAGACACCCTGGTCACGTCCACACTCCAACTGCCTGAGCACCTAACTCCTGGACAAACTCACTCTCCTCTCACACGCCACCTCAAACCTCGAGTCAACTATTCGCTCACTTCCCACACAAGCCACATGTGGCGCCGGCTTCACTCGCTCCCTCTGGACACAAGGTGCCCCGGTACACACGCGGCTCCTGGAAGTTTTTCGAAGAGAAGTCCCCTGGCAAAGGCAGGGGGCAGCGGTGCCTTCCCGAGGGGCCCTGGGGCTCCTGGACCAGAGGCCGAGCCCGTGACCCCACTGATGGGACCAGGACTCGGGATGGCCCAGGTCAGCAGGCGCCTGGGAGGGCGGCAGAGACCCCAGGACCACGTGGCATGGACTGGGCACCCCCGCAGCTGGCCCCCTACTCCGCGGGCCCAGGCTGGACCCAGGTCTGCCCTCAGGGGCCACGTCCTGAGGGGCCCCCTCCTGGCCCACGCTGCTGCTCACCGCACTCAGGCCGCAGGTGCTCGGGGACACAGGCCTCGTAGCCCTCCTTCTCCGGGACCTCCAGGAAGTCATCCTCGTCCTCGTCCTCGGGGCCTGCTGTCTGTGGAAACACCGCAAGCTGTGAGTGACGGCCGCAGGCAGAGTCCCAGCCCCGCTTCTGTGGACAGCCTCCAGGTCGGGATCAGCGTTCACCACTTGGCTGCACTCATGGTCCGCCTGCGTCCCTAAACCATAGCGGCCCATGTGCGCTCCACTGGCCAGCCCACTGAGACCCACAGATAGGCACACTGCAGCCCACAGAGCTCCATGGGCCCGTGGTCCCAGCCCTCCACCCAGCTCCAGCCAGACCAGAAGCACCGCCCTAGGCATCCAGCACTGTGGCTGTGACTACGGCACTTCCGGAACGTCTCATCCTCGAGAGTGGCTTGTTAAAAAGCCACCGAAGAGGATGTCTCCCCTGGACAGGGCGGCCCTCCCTGTCGCTCTGTGAGCCTGGAGCCCCCACCCGCCCCACGAACCGAGGGCCCCGACATCCACTCCCCCTCCGCCCCCACCCTGGCGGCACCCAGCCAGGTGGGAGCAGCAGGGACCCGGAGCATGGGGGGCTTACTGCAGGGGCCAGGGGCTCCTCCGGAAAACAGCTTGGCGGCTGCCTCACATTCACGCCACGTGCTGGGGCCACACACAGCCTGGGTCAGGGTCAGCAGCCCGAGCCGCTCAGGCCCAGAAAGCCCTCTCTCCTCATATTCTCAACCCCTGCATCCCTGGGACGGGGTGTGGGGGCCCGTCCTTCCCAAGAGGGTCACAACACGGATGTACCTGGGAGCTGGGTTGCATGGCCAGCACCACCCAGAAACACCCCGGAGTCTGAGGAGCTGCAGCCCCAGGCCCGACTGCGAGAAACTTTCAGAGGGGAGACTGCGGCCGGGCTGATGCTCGCACGGGCTACAGACCATCACCCTCTCTGCCAGGGTCCATCCCGACAGCCAGGCCCTGCAGCACACGGCTGCCCAGGGCGGGCAGACGAGGACCGGCCCTCAGACCCCAGGGCAGGCAGCCAGCCAGGCCACAGGCACCCAGAACCCAGAGGCTGAGGAGCGGCTGGGAGGCCTAATCAGATGCAAATGCTCTCAGCTTGGGCGCAAGCCGCAGCGCGCGTCTGGGAGGCACGGAGACATTAATCATTGGAAACTGTAATTTTTGTTATCAGTCTAACACTGATCAAAAGGGAAGCCTGTCTCCACCGCTGACCTGTGAAACGTCCCAATTATACTCTTTGGAAATGACAGGGGCACTTAACTCCAGAGCCGAGCAAATGACGACGATCAATCACGTTTGAATAACAATGAGCCGCGGACCTGAAAATTATTTTTGTATAGAATCTACCCAGGAATTTATGAAAGGTGGAAAGCAGCCCAAGGTTTTCGGGCATTACGGTCCCGGCTAGTGCCGTGCGTATCAAACACTAAACAGAATTTATGTGTTTTAATTTTCCAAAAGGTAGATGTGGACTGGGTGCTACAATGCATAACACACCGTGCCAGACTTTAAATATGGAGCTCATTTTCATAAAATATTATGCTTATTGCTCACACCCTTGAATTTCACCTGGGACTTTTATTAAATTTTCATTTCCTAAAAAACACTTGGCTGCTTAGCTAACTATTAGGAATTATACCCTCTCTCCCAGGTAAAACTGTACCCCTCTGACTAAGCCCGGGAGCCGGCTCCCGGGCCTGGATGCGCGCTGACAAGGCCCGCAGGCCGGCCTCCTCGGGCCCCAGACCCTAGTGCACAGCTCTGCACGGGCAGCGTCGGCGTCCTCCCCGAGAGCTGCTGCAGCCGTCCCTGCCACACTCGCGTCCCAAACCTCTCGGAGGCTGGGGTGACCCTCAAACCAGGCCCCCAGGGAAGCAGGGGCTCTACTGTTGCTCTGAACTCGGGCTTGAACGGCTCCACTTGCAGGAAGGTCTAGTTCTCCATGCTGTGCAGGGCTCAGAGGTGCTGAGCACCCTGAGGCCCTCCCACATCCAGCCCGGGGGCACCCCATCCCCGGAGGGCAGCGGAAGGGAACCCCCCACCACCTAAGCCGGGCAGTCCTCTCCTGGTCTTGGGGGAACACTCGGCTGGGGACACCCAGGCCCACAGAAAACATCTACCTGCACTTGAGGGGCAGCCCAGCACTTCCAGGTGCCACAGTAGCAACCTCCTCTCGAGGTTAAAGGGCACAGATCAGGTCAGAAGCCCCAGCGGGCATGGGTGGGAGGCGGCTGGGGGCAGAGCAGGGGCACAGAGGGCCGAGGGGCACCACGGCCTGTGGGCACCGGGTGAGGGCAGGGTCAGACGGTCCGCAAGAGCAGTTCGCTGGGAGCTGAGCTTCCCCGTCAGGAAGAGAGGCCACCAGACACGCTTGAGAAAGCGGCCTGCCCTGGCCCAGGGGCCCAGAGGGAAATCTCCCTGCTAGGTCCAGTCCTGGGCCTGCCTGGGAGGCTGGGCAGGCAGGCCAGGCCCTGCGGCTGATGCGCAGGCCCCGGGACTGAACCCTCAGGGCCCCAGGGAGGCAGAGAATGCCCCGGGCCTTCCTCTCATTCCACACAAATTGATTCTCACCCAGTTAAAAGGATTTAGAAAAATGAGGCTCTAAGATCATAATTAAACAAGCAATAAAATGGCTAAAATATACTATGTAATCCGATTACAGAAGTAGGAAAGCGGGTTGCTAATTACTCGAGAAGGATGGGAAGGGCCACCTCCCAGACCTACCCGCCCAAGGCCTGCCCGCGATAGAGCTGGACCATTAAACACATTCTGTGCGATCTAATTAACTTGGGGCACCATCGCCATTACTTTTCACCCAAGAAATCACTTTTGTTCAGTTTTATGTGTGTATGTTTCCCTTTTAAAAAAAAAAATGATGTAAGGCCCCGTCAGACAAGTGAGCGCCAAGCTGCATCTGTCTCCTCAGCTTGATGGCAACGCACTTAAAACCCCATTCTATCTTATAAACCAAAAATTAACCGTGCTCAGCTGTGAGGGTCGTCATCACAGCTGCTATTTATATGCTAATGCCCTCCCTGGACCGCGTGCAAATTGCCCAGCCAGGCCAATATCTCATGTGCATCTCTGCTGCCTGGACATACCTCGGCAGGTGTGGGCCTGCTGCGAGTGGGTGCTGACCATCACAGACCTCAAGCGGGTGCGGGGCGCTGCTGCCCTCCTGCACGGAGGGGCCTGGAGCTGCCAGCCCCTTTCTCACCTGCTCCTGCCGCTCCAGCACCGAGGCCAGCCGGCCCGGGGTGTGCGAGGCTGCCACCGCCCCTTCAGGTCCACCCGGTCACCATTTCCAGGCGGAGGTTGGGCAGCCCCTCCTCCCGGGACCCTGCCTGGGGCCTGATGTGGGCTGGCTTGCCTCGCCCAGCCCGGCCTCTGGGCAAGATCACATACTCACCATGCACCCTGGCCTCAGCGAGAAGACCCATGCAACTCCCCCAGACCCAGCCTTCCCATCTGTAAAACAGGGGTAAGGATGGAACTGACCTCATAGGGCTGAGTCTGGAATTAAGGAGACCACATGTAAAAGTATTCAGGAGAGAGCAGCCACCCTGGAGGGTGCTGGGGAGCTGGACTGTAGGGCAGGGAGGGCCCAGGGCCTGTGGGGGTGGGAAGCTGCCCCCACAGCAGCCAACGTGCTCCCAGTCCTCACGAGAGCAGAGCAGCCCCTGCCCCGGCTGCTGCCCCCCCCACAGTGGCCTTCGGTGTGAGGGTGATGGAAGGACCAGTCCCCAGGAAGGTTTACTGGCCTGGCCGGGCACAAGGCCCTGCCGGCAGCTGATTCAGCTCCCTGCCTCCCTGGGGCCACGGCACGGTCAGCACTTCACCCCCAGGCTCTCCGCTCAGGAAGCCGGCATGCGGCTCCTGAAGCAGAGAGGCATCCAGCCCAGCACAGCAGCGAGAGCACCCACCCAGCCACTAAGAGGAGAAGGCGTCACCCAGAGTCATGCAGGATCTGCGCCCTTGCAATGAGTGGGAGTGTGTGGGGGTTAAACCCGGGGCTGCCGGCAATGGGAGAAGGGGAGCGTCATGGGGGTGCTCCAGCGGCCGCAGCGAGGAGCCTGGGGCCAAGAGGACACCCGCTCTGCGGACAGCCTGATGCACACAATCATTATTTTCTGACTTACTGGGCGGGGGG